ATGAAAATTTCAGCCATTTCCATTATGTCTCGTAGAGTTTCAAACGACATACACCAGCTTAGTTGTGAAAGCTAAAACGGTTTTATACGATATAACCCTGGCCAAACACTTAAATAAAGCGCGTATAACTCCAAACGACATAAAACCAGCCTAACTGTGAAAGCGAATACAATTTTATATGATATAATAACAGCCCAACAGTTGATTAGATTTGACACATTTTCACACCATACAGCACTATCTAAACAATTTGTTGGAACCGATGCAGTTAGTCGTAATTTAACATCATTTCAACTGTTTAATGAAGTTCATACAGTTTCACCTGATATAATAGCCCAATTGTTCATTAGATTTGATAGACTTTCACACTATATAATAATATATGAACAATTTATTGGAACCGGTGCAGTTAGTCGTAATATAACACCATTTCAACTGTTTAGTGGAGTTCATGCAGTTTCATCTGATATAATAGCCCAATTGTTCATTAGATTTGATAGACTTTCACACTATATAATACTATATAAACAATTTATTGAAATCTATGCAGTTAGTCGTGATATAAAACCATTTCAACTGTTTATGCAGTTTCATCTGATACTATAATAATAGCCCAACTGATGATTAGATCTGTTACAGTTTCAGGTAATAACCTCATGAAACAATTTATGGTATTAGAATATTTTTTTATGTCTGAAAACGATGAATTGTCGGAGTGCTCATTGAAATTATGTATTTCTATAGATAGAAAATATGCAAGACTCCTAGTGACCCTAATTGTAATTATCACTGAACGAAAATGATCCTTAAAATTCTAACAAGTGTCTTATAGGTTTCATGGAGGAACTTGTACGCTATAATAATATTTAAAGTATCTTAAAAAGAACGAAATGTTACGGTGCAACATAATAGTGAGAATTACTCCAAAATGAGCTATAAAACATTTATCGGAATCCTACTCCAGAACATTTCTTTTAGAAAAATTAAACACCCATGCATAACATTTAGACAAATTCATAGCCCTTAGTTTCTCTGTCAGCTACATCTCAAATCCAATATAATTCCAATCCTTCAAGCCTTAAATAAAATCCAATACAATTCAAATCCTCCAAGCATGAAATCAAAATCAATACAATTCAAACCATTCCGGCATGAAATCAAAACCAATACATTCCTAATCATTCCAATCAGACTGACGAAAGCGCAGTCCTGTTGTTAATTCCGGCATATCTACTATTTATCTGAAATAAAAACATAACTGTTATTCAGATTCTTGAGTTATCAATGCTAACAAATATCTAAACACTATTTTATTTTTCTAATGTCGATTTAGCTCGTAATTGCATTTTCATTTGCAATTTGTAGTTTTAATAATAATTCTTGCAAACTGCTTTTTTTCAATCAATATCATTCTCTTTCCATTGTTAGGAAATTAATTTACATAATTATATTGTTGTGGGAAAAATATGAGGTCATAATCGTGATTCAAACGTTTATTATTACTGCATATTCGTAAATTTTATGGAACTTCTTAAACGAAAATAGTATTTATTCATTCTTTATTTCATGTAAGTTAAGGGGAAATAATTTCCTTTCGTAGCTTACTGACAGTTTAAAAAATAGTTCACATAATCTAGAATAACTTCCACTTGAACAGTCTTTGTTAATCTTTCAGAATTGCCATGCTTCTGACTACGCTTATTTTGATTTTGTGTGGCACATTGCCAAGAGGTTTCTTAGCAAGCCAGAATCTAGCGTACTGTAATGATAAGAAAACGAAAACTATTATGGTGAGACGATAATGAGTTATTGTGATTGTACCTAAATATACATATCACACGTTCAGAATATATCTGTTCACTACACCAGTCCCATGTTACCAGTCAATGAACGCTTAGTTTTGGAGATAAAAAAATACAGCTGACCTGCTATTGCTAGCCTCCAACCAAAGTCTGTAATTCAGATGATGTATATCATTTGTCATTCCTCAAACTTCCACTGAGAACTAGGCTATACCCAGTATTAAGTGATTTGTAATTTGCAGTGAAAACTCGCTATTCAACTATTCTCTATTACATTTTATGTAAATCGAGTGCTCTGTTGATTAAGAACCTTGAGTACCTGTGCAGCATACAGTCGCCTATTCAAAGTACAGTATATTGTCAGGGTATTCATCTTTCAGTTCTGAAATAAATACACACAAAATCATTTGCTGCAGTCTAGATAAAATCATTAAACCTTTTTGTCGTGTTACACTAAATGTAAAAAATTACTTTACAATATGAACGTTAATGTTAAAAATTATTTTCATAAAATAGAACGCCCATAAAATTGTCTTATACATATTTTGGAATTAAGCACAAACCTACATAATGGGCTATCTGTGCTCTGCCCACCACGGGTATCGAAACCAGGTTTCTAGCGTTGAAGTCCACAGACATACCGCTATGCCACTAAATACAATACTTTTATTTATTGCTCATTTTAGTTCAATGTTTTCCACATTTTTTTTTAAACTGAACGCAGTCCTTAGCTTTCAGGTACACAGAAAATATCGTGGTTTTGTGTTTTGATACAAAATATCGAGGAAAAGTATTTCAAATCAGCTAAATACTCAGCTTTAAAGATTTAACGCATGCAAGCAAGGTTAACAGAAATGTGTTTTAACTATGTAGTTGCATACTAAAAGTGTTTTTATTTACAATGTTCAGAGAACTACTCGACATCCCAGCAAAAGGAGTTGATCACAACAGAAAAATAAAATTTACATTACTGGCAGGATTATTTTTCTGTATCGCGTCCATTAATCTTTCTGGCACTTTTCTTATATTCTTATATGTCTCCACGGAGAAACTTTTTTTTTTCTATTGTTTCTTCTTCTTCCAAACACTTTTCAATCGACCGCCATTCCTTCATTTTTCGAAAGATTGACTTGAAATTTGGTAGGATTATACTTTGGTCCAATACACTCTGAAAACTTTTCACTTAGGCATTTTTAAAGATTTTATGAAGTCAAATGTGAAACAATACCACAATGTATATTTTGGACTTCTGTGCTGTCATATTTTCAGCAAATAAGATGATAATTGGCACAAATATAAATTTTCATGTGTCCAATATATTGATATAAAAAAGTTAGATTTGCCCATTTTGAGTCGTTTTAGGGGGGGGGGGGTTAGAGCTCACTAAAAAACATAATTTGGAGATTTGGGGTGAATTACTCGGCCATATTTTGACCAATTTACATGGGATTAGGTGCAAAGTTACCTTCTTACAGGTCCCAAGCAGTGATACAGACAGTTTTCGACATTCCTGTATTTTTCACGATTTTTCTGGTGTCAAAATTGGCCATGTTGAGATTGCGTGGCAGAGACGTGTAAAATTCGCCTGCGAATATTGGCTTCTTAAATCATTTTATATTTTGCGTACGTAATCTTTATACGTCTTTACAAATAGTTATGTTAGTGTCGCTCCTCTGCCGTGTACTTTAAAATTATACTATGTAAAATAAAATTAAAATAAGTACTTATGTAAGACAAGACAATAAACCGTTTCACCTGTCTAAAAATAATACATTCCAACGTAATGCATAATAATACATTCCAATGTAATGCATAATGATACATTCCAATGTAATGCATAATAATACATTCCAATGTAATGCATAATGATACATTCCAATGTAATGCATAATAATACATTCAAGTATTATAAATTCATCCGTTCACATAAATAAAATACTTAAAAACTTTAAAAAAATTAAAGGAAAATAAACTGTTTATTTTGAATTTCGCGCAAAGCTACACGAGAGCTATCTGCGCTAGCCGTCCCTAGTTTAGCAGTGTAATACTAGAGGGAAGGCAGCTAGTCATCACCACCCACCGCCAACTCTTGGGCTACTCTTTTACCAACGAATTGGTTGACCGTCACATTATAACGCCCCCATGGCTGAAAGGGTGAGCATGTTTGGTGGGAGGGGGGATTCGAACCGCGAGCCTCAGATTGCGAGTCGAGCGCCCTAACCACCTGGCCATGCCGGGCAGGAAAATAAAAGGAAAGCATTTTAAGATCTACGAAGTAAGTTAGAGTCTAAGCTCACGAGTATAATATATTCAACGCATTCTAATGACATAAGAACATATTTTGCTCTGAAAAAAACAACAACTTTGAAAGCCAGGAAGCATGTCTTTCTTATATTAGATCCCAAAACTTTTCTCATGACTCGGTTTTTTTTCCTTTCTGAGATGATTTTATTATAAGTTTCAAAAGTCAATTTTTAAAGATTGAAATTGAATTCATACAAGCTTAATATCTCTCTCTTTCTTGTTTCTTAATATTTTGCCTCTCCGGTGGCTCAGCGGTATGACTTAGGGTTTATAACGTTAAAGTTCGAGGTTCTATCTCTGCGATAGGCATAGCGCATATATTCCATTGTTCAGCTTAGCGCTTAAAGCAAACTTGTTTGTTGTTTTTTGTTATTTCAGGCATTGTTATAATAACAGTACACAGTGAGCCTTGTGCAGTTCCAAGTCTAATTCGTGAGTTGAAGAATTATTTCAAATAAAATCAGTATTAAACGAAAAATTTAGAAAAACACTATATTAATTGTATGGCCTTTAATAGTTTTGCCCCACCTTGTGGTGGTTAGCATTAGGAATTAGGAGTAATTTGTTAAAAAGCGTTTTTTTCATACAAATTAGAACTTGTATCTGTGCTTAAAAGTCGGGAGAACCGCACGAGCATTTTTTATCAGACCGTGAACAAGAAAGACAAATATATTATTTTTACGTTTTAAAAACATTTATTATACATGTATATGTATATATACAATAGTCAGGAAAACTAGTCTCAGAAAATTCAACATTAATATTTGTTTTTGCGACAGAAAGTTTTGAAGGCTAAAGTAAAGCTTTTTTTTTTCTTTCTAGAATTGTAAATTATAGGTTTGTTTACAATATCTAATAATATTCATGGCTGTCAGCTTAATAATGTCCATATCCTCAGTAACCTGCATGTCCTCTATGAGCTTCATAATCACCATACCCAGGATTTTTGTAACCATAGCCACCATTTGAGTGTCCGTAACCATAGCCACCATCTGGGTGTCCGTAGTCATAGCCACCGTAGCCTGGATTTTCGTAACCATAGCCACCATTTGAGTGTCCGTAACCATAGCCACCATCTGGGTGTCCGTAGTCATAGCCACCGTAGCCTGGGTGTCCGTAGTCATAGTCACCGTGCCCATAATTATAGTAACGTCGGTCGTATCTAATGCTTTTAGCATATCCACCTTGTCCGTAACCGTCATGACCATAACCGTGGATAGGGTGGATTATGACATCCACATTATTGTAACCACGACCATCATAAGGTCTGTACCCATCATCGGAATCGTCATAACCAGCCATGACTTTAGCCAGAAGAGCCATCATTGAAATCATCTGAAAAAAAAAGAAAACATTATCATATTTGATAATAGATTTAACCCTTTTCTTCAATGTAAAACCTTAACCGTTTGAGGAAGATTTTTTCTAATATCTTAAGCTGTATTATTAAGTAGTTTTATTTGTTACCTATTACACTTAATCCTCCGTTTCTATCGATGGCTGTTACAACTGTCATTTTAAAGTGATCCCACTTCGTATAGAATGACATAATTAATTAAAAAACTAGCAAATCATAAGCACATCAATCCATGCGCTGAATTTTCTTGGAATTTGTTTTGCTATAAAAAAAGATTTTTAATGATCTAAGGCAAAAATAACTATCTTTTAGAAACAAAACATTTATTTTGCACGAAAATTAACATTCCTTTGTTATGAAATTTCTTTTAACTATATGTACTGATAATATTGATCTGATATCCTGAAAGGTTTTTTTTAGATAAAAACAAGTATGCTTTTTTAATGAAAGCAACATAGTAAAAATATTTTGGGTTTCTAATCTAAGTTTTGGGTACAATATGGATAATAATAGCTTTGAGCACTTTCAATAACTCCAATTTTGAATAAAGATCTGACAATAAGGACAATTATCCCCCCCCCTCCCATAAATGTACTTCTTTTGAACTGGTATTAAAGTTATTGGCTAATGTGCATTTTTCGAAGTTTGCGAAACTACTTAGCCACCGTTTCACTTACCACAAACTTATACATTTTGCAATTGTAAATAAATTCGCTCGTTGGTATTTGATTCAAAATTGTAGAGTATTCTGTACATGCTTGCTAGAAAGTGAAGTTTTATATAGAGTCCGAAAAATTGTTTGAATCAGTTCCGTGTGTAGCTCGTATGTAGCACATGGTAACTGGTAGTGACACAACTAATGGAATCACACTTCATCAACAAGAAACCCCTTAGGGTTTAGCATGAGCAAGAATATTTCTGAATTTGTTTATAAGAAAAACGTACACGTCGTAGTTAAAATTAATATTTAGTTGTATTGTTTACTAATTATAGCAACTACACATCATTGCCTGCACTCTCAAACACACACCTATCCCTAAAGCACTGTTGCCATAGAAATCGCGAATAAGGAAAAGTAACAGACAAGAGTTAATAGTACTGAATCAAATCTTTCTTCGAATCAATATCACCTATGAGATGGATATTAAATACGAACTAGTCTTTAGCGACCATTCTATTACATTATGGTTGATCACATATCATTGTACATTCTTCATTACTTTTATTGTCAATAATCAAAATGCATTTTTGTTTCACATGCGAAATATTTAAGAAGAAAAATAATCCAGAACAAACTTCGGCATGTATTAACCAGAGACAACAACGTATTTGATTCACCATAGAGATGGCGAAAGACACTCGAAATACTTTATCAGTTGTTAATAAGAGAACTCTCCAATATGCACTGCAAACTTTAAACTCGCATATACTTTGTCAGTTAAATTCACGTCAAATTTCAATATTTATTTATGATATCCTTCTTCTCTTTATATATTCACACAAAACAAAGAGAAAAGAATGAAACTTTTGGCAACAACATAGTATAACAAAAACTTTGACGCCTCAAATATATCTTTGGTTTTGTATTTGCTCGGTTACACTTGCTAAGATTTCTAACTTTTGTTCAGAGTCCATGGTAATTAAATACACACATACGTTTATATAAGTGTAATTGGATTGTTAATTATAATCAAATATTTCTTTGGTTTTGTATTTGCTCGGAATCTGAACAAAAGTTAGAAATCTTAGCAAGTGAAACCATGGTAATTAAATACACACATACGTTTATATATGTGTAATTAGATTGTTAATTATAATCAAATATTTCTTTGGTTTTGTATTTGCTCCGACTCTGAACAAAAGTTAGAAATCTTAGCAAGTGAAACCATGGTAATTAAATACACACATACATATATATATATATATATATATATACATGTAACTAAATTGTTAATTATAACCAAATATCTCTTTGGTTTTGTATTTGCTCGGACTCTGAAATCTTAGCAGGTGAAACCATGGTAATTATATAAATATATATATATACATGTAACTAAATTGTTAATTATAATCAAAATTCTGCCCTTTACATAATACAAAACATGAAATGATAGACATGAAATAAACAAGGGCGACTTTTACAAGTAAATGAGCTACAAAGCATTACAGTATGTGTAATAACTATTTTATGTTCACTACAAGATTCATTTCCTCGATTAAATAATTTATGAAATGATTTTTTTTTTTTCGGAAAGATAATGTTTAGGGCCTATTATAACTAGGTGTCTCATATTTTTTTTTAATAATCTCATCTAGCTACCAAAAGATAGTTTTTCTTTGTTGTTAAGCGTAAAGCTACACGATGAGATATCTGTGATCTGCCCACTGCGAATATCGAAACGCAATTTTTTGTGTTTTATGCCCTCTGATTTATCGCAGAGCCCCCGAGTGTCCCAACATTTTTGTATATAACTGTCGACATTTTTCTACGCTTTCGCCAGTTCGAATGTTAATTAGGTAGCAAGTCACGTGATTTGATGACGCAGAGAGAGTCTTGTGTGAATAGCTGCGTCTGTCATCCTGCAGTGAGTCAAGCTTGGTTTTAGAGTGAAAATAGAAATGGAATTCGAAGAAGTGCATTACAACAAACCTGAAGTTCAACCCGTATTATTTTCTCGTCTTTTCTGTTAAATTCACTGACGAAACTAAAATCCATACGTATTAACTGTTCTGTAATATATATATACAGGGAAAAAAAATACAATTTTAACGGAAAGTAGGGTTCGATGGTTATTCCTAGAATTGCTATAAAATATATCCAAAACAAAATATATGTTGCAATAGAAATTACACAAACAAGTAAAGTGATACTAATTGGATAGATTTT